TATACATATATATGTATATACATATATATATGTATATGTATATACATATACATATTTATATATATGTATAACCTGTAACCAAGTACTTAACACCTTCAAGAAGCATTAACAAAAGATAACCTTCTTATCTGTAAGGGGCATCTGGGTGGCTCAGTCAGTTAAGTGTCTAACTTTTGATCTCAGCTCAGGTCTTGATCTTAGCATTGTGGGTTCAAGCCCTGCATTGGGCTCCACACTGGGTGTGAAGCCCACTTTTAAAAAAATTATTTTTGTATCTGTAAATACATTCTGGAAAATATTCACCCCATTAACATTAATCAAAAAGAAGAGATTGTAGACATGAAGAAAAATTGGAGATTGATGGAGCACAAAGTGTGCAGGAAAGGAGATTGAAGAGTCAGGGTTAGAGATGATGGAAGAGTAAGACTTAAGACAGTGGATAGAAAGAATGAGTAAAAAAAAGTGGTGTGGAATCTAGGAAAAGTGTCTGAGAAATGACTGAAATTAATATAAGAATAGTACATGAACAAAGTTCTTCATTTGAAATGAATGTAAAATTCTCAGTTTATTCATATATTCATTTACCTTTTGAAATGTAAAGTAAGCGTTTAGTGTGCCTTCTTTGTGCTGAGTGCTCTATCAGCACTTAGGTTGCTGAGATTAAATAGGGCTAGGTGAAACCCTGTGAAATAAGTATTATAGACCAGGTGCGTAGGACCATACTAGCTCATACACTACCTTTGGGCAAATTAGCAATAGGCGTTCCTTCTTCAAGATACTTGGCTTCCATCTGTAAGAAAATTGTCATAATAAATAGAAATTTGCAATGTCTGTGCTGTGGAGGATGTCCTTCTAGATATAGTACCCTCGTGAACAGTCTGAACATACAGAAGTGGTGATTCAACACATGTACCTGAAATGCTCAGGGAGCACAGAAAGAGGCACTGAACTCAGCCTGGGGGATTCTGATTCTCTTGTACAATCCAGTCTCCCTAATAATCAGGGAATGCGTATACAGCAATGCCATTTGTAACTCTTTTGCAAGCAAGAAGTTACTTTTGTTGATATTTGAAATTATGGTAAATTATTTCATGTAGTAATTGATAGCTACAGTGTAAATTTTCATAGCCCTTATATAAAATAACTTGACAATATATTTAAAAGTCTTCACTGTGTATGATAGCAAAAGGCTAGGAACATCCCAGCTGTTCATTAACAGGGGAATGGTTGAATTAACTATGGGTATAGCTAGTGAAGTACTATATAACTATCTGAAAGGATTGAGGAAATCTCTCTCCAGGGTATATTGTTTAGGTGAAAAAACAAGGTGGGGCGCCTGGGTGGCTCAGTTGGTTAAGTGTCTGACTTTGGCTGAGGTTATGATCTCACAGCCTCATGGGTTCGAGCCCCGCGTCCAGCTCTGTGCTGACAGCTCAGAGCCTGGAGCCTGCTTCGGATTCTGTTTCTCCTTCTTTCTCTGCCCCACCCCCTCTCACGCTCTGTGTCTCTCCTTCAAAAATAAACAAACATTAAAAAAAAATTTAAGGGGCGCCTGGGTGGCGCAGTCGGTTAAGCGTCCGACTTCAGCCAGGTCACGATCTCGCGGTCCGTGAGTTCGAGCCCCGCGTCAGGCTCTGGGCTGATGGCTCAGAGCCTGGAGCCTGTTTCCGATTCTGTGTCTCCCTCTCTCTCTGCCCCTCCCCCGTTCATGCTCTGTCTCTCTCTGTCCCAAAAATAAATAAAAACGTTGAAAAGAAAAAAAAATTAAAAAAAAAATTTAAGAATATGTATAAAGGTATTTGTTTATATTGTTTTAAAAAAGAGGAACGATAAATCAAACCTAAAGAAATTAGCTATAGATGAAGGAACAGAGCAGAAACAAGGACAGGCATTAAAGCGAAGCATCTCTGAGTATACTTAATTCTGTAGATTTGATTTAGAAATCATATAAATGTTTTACATAATTATAAAACAAAGTTAAATATGGAAATATAATTCCCCCTGCATTCAAGGCAAATTGAACATAACTGTTCTCACACTGGAGACATAACTACATAGGAAGACCTACAAAGCTATAACCACATAGTGGCAGTGAGCACAGCTACCACCAGGTTGTGGTCTCTAAATATCACTCCCCATTAAAAGAATTCCAGGATTCCTTAGAGAAATGGCTAATTCGAGATCTGGGAAGGAAACGTATAAAATAGCCTGGAGCATCTTGTTATACCAGAACGCAAACAGACTATCCAAGATTACTGAATTATATAAAAAGGACTGGAAAGCCAACTCAAAGAAGTTCTGATTGGTCAAAGATGGAAAAAATTTGATCATCGATAAGAACAATAGCTGTGATGAATTAAAAATCACATCAAATATTCTGAATTCCATGAACACATAAGTGAAAATAAAACCCTCATCGGTCACCTTTAGAGGCTGTTAGGGAATCAACTTATTTCAAAAATTGGCAAATAAGCAAATTCATCCTGCCTTTTCCCCGTGAAGAGGTTACCTTAGGTAACCAATTAGTTCTGTATAAGTTTCTTTTTATAAAAGTCCCAGCTAATATGTGAAAACAGAATAATAGGGATTGCAAAATGGTAATAATCTAATAAAGAAGAATAATGATAATAGCGGTAATCATTGTGGCATCACAAGAGACCAGCAGACTTAGTTCACAGCACCACTTGGGAGGTACTCTTGCCAAGCAAGCAAACAAAAAACCCATCAATCTTCAATCTAATCAAGCCTCTAGATCTAACTACCAATTTGTAGGAAACAGGGGATATAGAAACATTTTATTTTATTTTATTTTATTTTTTTTTTTTTAAATTTTTTTTTCAATGTTTATTTATTTTTGGGACAGAGAGAGACAGAGCATGAACGGGGGAGGGGCAGAGAGAGAGGGAGACACAGAATCGGAAACAGGCTCCAGGCTCTGAGCCAACAGCCCAGAGCCTGACGCGGGGCTCGAACTCACGGACCGCGAGATCGTGACCTGGCTGAAGTCGGACGCTTAACCGACTGCGCCACCCAGGCGCCCCTATAGAAACATTTTAAAACCACCATAAAGATGCAATCATC